CTTCATAAGTTAAAACCTAATGGTAAAAGGCAAATTCTGAAGAAATAATTGAATATTTAATTGATACAATATTCATAGAGAGAATACATTTACGAATGTCAAAATGTATTCATAAAATGTAATGGACATTATGGACAAGAAAGAATATCATGGACATTTTCAGTTTGAATATTTATCAAAGGAACTTAAATATATGATACTTTTAACTATTGGCACAGTAAGCAAAAGTAATGAAAATATTGGAAAATAATTTGCTGATCTCAAGAATGCAGAAAATAATTTTTGAGAACTGAGATATTGCTAGAGAAGTACCAGGAGATAGATAAAAATCGGGGGTTTTTACATAAAATTGCTTCTATTTTGATTTCAAGTAACATACATATGTATATAATATATGGATCGGCGGTTGAGTAGCCGAATTCGACAATGCTTTGTATTTAAATCAATATTCTCGGAAATTTTTTGCTGAAAAACAATAAGCTCAACGAAGAGGTAAACAAATAATGAAACGCACAAACAAACAACTGTTCAGGTTTCTGTCGCCGAATTCAAACCTCGGCCCAAACTCAGCTTCAGTAGACTTGCGATACTTTCTAAAACCGAAGTTCGGAGTGAAATAACGTGCGAAGAAAAAGCACTAATTGAAATTCCAATCGAGATTCCGTTCTATACATACATGCACAAGTACTTAATGATATTTCGGTAGAATTGGGCGCATACTGAATGCGAATGGTAATTGATTTACCTAATGAAATATATATGTGCAAAATCGTAACCAGTTTTCGTTTGTTTATACATGTAAATCATTAAAATTTGTGTGGTTTTGTTATTTTATTTTTGGGTCTGCAGAGAAATCCGTTGTAATTAGTGTGGAGCGATCAACAAATTACATCATCAGCTGTGGGATAAACATATAAAGAAAAACAGCTGAACTAATGACTTATTATTATTAGAAATTTTCATATATACATATATATGTATAGCAATAGATATAAACTCAAAAAGGCATACCAAATGAAACAATGTATATATATATCAAATAATATAAGCTTMCTATAATTAACTACAGATCGTTAGCTGGACTCGAGCAAATATTGAGACAGTTGACACCCAGCTATACTATACGATACTGTACCAGATTATCTAGAAAGCTTTAGCTGAGTTGTATTCAATGCCGCCTATACATCCATCTAAGCAATATAATTAATAATAGAGGCCCCCACGCAATCATTTTTGGCAACTCATTGCAAATATTTGTCAGAGATAAATATATTTGAATAGATAATCGAAATATCTATTGGAAACGTGCGTAGGGAGATCTGAAATCGTGCTGCTGCTTTTCGCGTTTACTTGAGCAATTAATGCGAATGATTTGCAATCGGATCGCATCTTGCTAAATTTATCGAACTAATTTGCCATGTTTACTCTTATCTACGCTGCTTACAGATTAACGTGTCTGGATCTCTGGATCGGCCGAGTCGACGAAGACGAGACGCATGCGCAGATTTTCCGCTCGAGATTAAGTCAACAGCTCAATAACCAAACCAAACAACACAACACAGCACAGCACAAAACAAAAATTAAACGTGCAAACAGACGTCGAGGCATCTCACTCTCTATCTCCGTCTCTACATGAGACTCATTCTCTATCTCTGTCTCTGTCTCCGGCTACGGCTCTGACAGCGGCTCATTTAAAGGCAACGCGTCTTGCCGTTAATCGTTCAGAACATTTCAAGCTGTGCGAGTGAGCGAACCAGCCAAACTAACCGCAAAAAACAGCAATAAGAAAAGAATAATAAAATAAAAACAATAATAAAAATAATAAAATAATATTATTAAGTGCTTGACGAAAATGTCTTAAAAACCAAGCCAAGCGACGTGCTTGACCACAATTACAAAAATTTCGACTTTTGCAACGCTCTCGACTGAGATTTTGAGTGCAACTCGCGTCTAATCCGCCAAAAGACTGTACTAGATTAACATAACTATTTAAATATATAGAGTAACATATATAAAACACACACAATGTCTGCATCGAAGGAAGCGATTTGCTCGAGTTCCGAAAAGGATCCGGAGAAGCCTCAGCTGGGTAAGTTTCACATTATATGATCAGTGTATTATTAAGAGAAAATCTTATCGCGACGTCCATTAAGTGAAACAGTTTCCGACGTATAATAATCACAGATAATATAATTATTATTGTCTTCTTAATTTCTGGTATGAAGTGTCGGCAGTTCAGCTTTATGAACTGAACAATGTCTGTGACTTTTATATGTCTCTCTGCTGGTTCCTAAAATTTCAGAGAATCTACGTTGTTCTTTTGATTTGATACGTGAAATTTGCTGTGACTTTTATGGGTTGATATTTTAGAGATATTGTAAGTAAGAAATCATTTTAATACAGTTCTCTACGCCCTAAAAGTAGTGGAGGGCAGTCTCTGAAAAGGCAATATAAGCGTTAGTAAACAAGTTGAAATAGTTAAACAATTTGAATTTAAAAAATGTTTATTTCTTTTTGTATACAAATTTTTAAATGTAAAAAAATATATTTTTTGTTTAATAGTTTAACATATTTTATTTTTATTGTTTTTATTTTATTATTATTGTTTTTCATTTTTTACGTTTTAAGTTTTAAGTACATTCCATCCCACTTAGTATCCTTACAACGCAGTTGATTAAATATATTAGACGAAATCACATAGTAAGCTAGAGGTATTTTAGCTATTATATTCTGACTGACAAATCGCAACTAACTAAACTATTTCTCTAGGCGTAGTCACGTGTGCAGCTACTACTAGTTCAATTGATATTAAAAGTGCCCATCCACTCTCATAAATAATGTAAATAGATTATTATTTTAAGTTAGAAAAAGTCCCCACAGATGACTTGATGATAGTCGGGCATTAGTGAGTGCATAACACAATTGTTAAATAACAAAAATTAAATGTTTATTAAGATGGGCTATGGGCGCAAAGGCAGATCAGCAAAGTCGTGCCAAAGGGAACTGTAAAGTGAATGTGAGAATGTGAATATGAATATGAATGTGAATATGAATGTGAATTAAGTGCACTTGACGCTGATTAAATTAGATGGCTTCTTCAGCTTCAGCTTCAGCTTCGGCTTTGGCTTTGGCTGATTCCGCTTGATTTGCATAATACAATCAGTCCCGGCCGACCTCTCCGGGTGCTCCGCTAAACGGAAGTTATTTGTTATGCATTGTCTCGCACATTTTGTAAGATTCACGAAAAATAAGTAGACACAACAAATAAATAAATATTTAAAGCGAGACGAGATTTTACTGCCGCCGCCAACGCGTGAGCCAAATTCACAATTCACAATTAGTGGCACGGCGGGGGTGTACGTACCCGAAACGGTATTCAGAAGTGAGGCCCCAAATAGTTGTTGACACAAAATGTGAGCCTCAGCTGTTTGTCTCAATTTCCCCCACTTGTTTGCCTGCTTATGGCCCGAGCTGATTGTCTTCCGACATTGCCATAGCTGCGATCTGAGATCTGTGAGGTGTTTTGACACAGTTTATAGATCGGTTCCCTCGCATACAGTTTTGGCGACCCGGGGAACTCCATGGCTGGCAGCTGAAACCGGTTACCGGCACTGCACCTCGATCCAGCCTAAAAGATGAATAAATAAAACAAATAAATAAATAAACACCCGAACGTGATTTTAAAGCTATGGAAATGAACTGCAGCAGCAATAAAATAAGCTAAATATCAACAATAAATTAAACTAGTTTTTTTTTATTTTGCTTTGTTTTAAGTGCAAACCAGTCAAGAGCTAAGGTCAAGAACGATTGAGGAAATTTGCTAAACAGTGTCAAGAACCTTGGCATTCCCGAGCAATCTTAAGAGCTCTTCTCGCTCACTTTCATTTGCCAGAGTGAAAGGGGGGCGTTGTGGTTAGCTAATAGCTAAATTGAGCAGACTGGCAACAGCGCTGATAGACTAGGGGATACCCATTGCTGGCGATGCAAATGGAAGTATTTATAAACTGTTGGTCGTCAATGCAAAGTGAAGTCTTCCTCTATTCATTTTCATTATTTATTGAGTTTCGTTTGTTTTATTCACTGAATGTATATCTAATATATGAATTTGGTTTGAAAAGGTTTGTTTTACCTAAAACTCACCCAGCTTATTCCTCATTGATCACTCAAGCAAACAGCAAAGTCAAGATATTAAATAATGTGAATATTCTAATTCATTCGCTCAAGCATAGGACTTGTCCTTATTAAATTCATTGCTTCTAGTATGTAGATAATTACACAGTTTGTTCCATAAGCTCCTCTATTATTAGATCTTGCTTATCACTGTGATTCACTTAATAGTCACTCGAGCAATCGAACAAAAAGTGAAAGCATTGCAGTTTTTTGAAAGTCAAGAGATGCTGTATAGTAATTATATAGAATAGTAATTATAATATGCAGCCCATGTGCTTTGTAGCACTATGGGCAGGATGTGTATACCCCGCACAGCAGTAGCATAGGGTATGTTTGAGTGCATTCAATTCCGTGACCACAGAACATTGGCAGCTTGACAAATTTCGAGATGATGTCGCGCGCTTTTTGGCCCCGACACTCGACATTGCATTCTGATCAGATTTTCTTGATCCACTCAATTCGTCATTTGGCATGTCGGGTCTCATTATAGCACAAATTGCGGCGAATTAGGGCAGATCTGAGGGAGCTGGTGCAACGGCTTTCGGCTTTCGGCACTCGGCGTTCGCAAGTGCGCGTTAATTTTCGCACTCGTCGCCCACACGATATATACATATATATATTAGCCTCGTATTTGTCTAGTGCCTGGATGAACTGTAGCACTATGCTACATATATTGTGCAATTCTCGGCGATTGTTCTTAACGAGCGTCTTTGTAATGCAATCTACATTTAAATTGGAAGATTGACGCTTACAGCTCTAATTTTTTTTTTTTTGTTTGCAACTGAGTTGAACTGTCACGTTCAGTTGAACAGGAGGGGGAGGGGCATAACAAAAATTCACTTAGCTCGACTTAACTTTTTTTAAATGATTATAAAATCGTGCAGGTTTTTCGACAGTTTCGGCGAAAATTACTCATGCTCAAGCTATTTATACATATATACATATGTGTGTGTTTGTTTATTTGCATTTAAGTTCAATTGAGCAAAGCCGCGTATAGCGCAAAAGGCATTGAGTGAATGAATGGGCGACACACCTGATAAATAGAAATTACTTTAGCTGGGCAATTTATTTGGCGTCCACTGTAGTTCAGCCAAAACGGAAACAATTGAAACGACACAAAGCTCAGATATGGCCCCACTCTGATGAACAAATTCGAATTAATTTTGTCGGGGAGATAGACGAATGACATACATACGTATGTGGAATGAGCTTTACACTAATTATTTTTGCTTATAGTTTTTTTTGCTCTCACATGAGATCATCAAATTGGCTTCGTTGGGCTACAAAGGGCGCCACACAAGCCAGTTAAAGCTATGTGCGTATGTCTGGACTCTGACAACTTCTTTTAAGTATTTGCAAATATATTATATAAATATTTATGTATGTATGCATGCTTATTTGCCCAACATTTTTACACCTGTTGATCTGACGTTCCCCTAAAACCTAAGCTTGACACCAGTTGTTTATTTTAGTTTATGGCATTTATCAAATTCATACAGAAAAGTTACTCAAACAATTAAAATACAACAATAAAACGACTAGTCGCGCAATAAATTACTTCATACATTCCATCTGAATGTTATATACCTTACTCAATTGCAAAAAGGTAATAATAGAAATCTGAACAGATTGTAATAAAATTAGCCCCGCCAATCAATAATAATGCCGGTCCACATACCACAACAATGCACGAAGCAAAGCAAACATATGGAAGCATCGCAGTAATCAACACGATAAACCTTACGTTGAAAGCTTACGTAGTTCGAGACTACGTTCCAGCCATTACAACAACCGCCGCAAAGTAGGCAACCGCTCGTGGGAAGAGAATACACTCGAAAGCTTTGCGAGTGGAAAGCTTTTGGAGCTATTGCACGGTTCACGTGCTGCTTGCGCTTGATGACAGTAAATAATTGAGCTTACTATTTCTGCTGTTGTTATTGTTGTCAGTTGCTGTCACACGCTTTGTTAATGAAACGGAAATAGAACAAATGCAGCTGCTATTTTTATGAATTTCGTGCTTGTATTCTCTTCGACTAATTGCTCAATGCTTGACTGTACCTGCCAACAAATATTTCCATTTGAGGTTTTGCCAAAAAAGAAGACGAAATAAAAAAAGCTGACAAAACACGAGCATCGCGTGTCAAGGTTCTTCTCTCACTCTCGCCCTCGCTCTTTCTCTTTCACTTACTCAGTCATTCCACATCTCTCTCGACTTGTTGCCTGCGCCATGCAAACCATAACAATAACAAAAACATTTGCCGACACTTCCAGTCCGCATACAATCAAGACGAAATATTTGTGTGCTTCACCAGCTCGGGCCATAGTCCAGCTGAGCTGAGAAGCTCATTCGTCTGTCGACTTGAGCGGCTCTCTCACTTCTCGCTTCTCGCCTCTGGCCACTCTCTCGCTCGCTCTCTGCCTCTGCCTCTGCCTCTGCCTGAGACGAAACTTGCGGTGGCCCGTTCGAGAATCAGGCGACAAACACGTGCACTCGCCGCATGCCGGCAAAGTTTCTCGTCTGCTGCTTAAAGCTGACTCGAGACTTCGAAAACAACATGTGGTTTGACTTTTTATGACTCGACTTTGAGTGTGTGTGTGTGTGAGTACGCGTGATTAAGTATGTGTGCGGTCGAGTCATGACAATTCTTTGAATGGGGTGTATGCACTAGCAGATAAATATAATTTTGCTCGAATTTATTACTGGAAAATAGTAAATATATAAAGATAAGGAAACTTAACAAAATAATATTTATGTACTTCAATAGAAAAATACCAAAATTATAAGCTGATTAGAAAAACAAATATTAATTTTCTTTAAAAAAATGAAGCCAATAAAATTATATTATATAATATATTTAGAAAATATCATAGTGTATTCAGTTGTCGGCGATATATTTTTAACATGCTATTGTTCCATGCCGTTCTACTGTATTTTAACAAAATTGAATTTTAACTAGTTTTTTTGCGCATTTCTCCAAATTAGCAAGCACCTGACAATGCAATGAATTGCGGTTTTATAATGGCCGCACGGAACGTCTAATTGGTAATTAGAGAGGGGCCTACAGTGGGCACCACTTAGCAGCACTTAGCACTCACCCCGTACAAAACATAAAAACCAATCCCCCCTTTTTGTCGCTTGGCGCCAGAGGCCGCATGCCCCCCACGCCGAAGGCCGGTGCCTCGTGCCGGCTTTGGCTCTTATTTCTAAGGTTTCAATACTTGAAGCATTTTTCCCAATAATTTCCTACCACATACGTGCATATATTTGTGTATATGTGTAGGTATATATAATTTATTATATGTGTGTATACATATATCCAAAGTCTGGTCGCGCATTTGGCAAATAACATTTGGTTTTGGCACACATAACTCGAGTTAGTTCTTGTCGAGTTTTGCTTCAGGCATCACGAGATGCCTGCTTACGTCTAACAGCTAAAAATAGATCTTCTGGTCGGACTGTACTATATATAAAGCAATTGACATCAATCGAGTTGGGTTCAACAGCTGATGATTCAGTTATAGGCTGACATATGCTTGGACCATACCTCACTGAGCAAACAGTTGATGTAATCGCGGCGCCTCTCTCCCACTTCCACTCTCTTCCGCTATCCCTCTCTTGCTTTCTCGCATTCTCTCAATCTGAGGCGCTTGCGCCTCGGACGTTCGCGCGATTTCGGCCCCGTTTATTATATAGTCGGATAGCGCAACAGTTGGCGCTCAGTTCCCGCAAAGGCGCACACAGAGCCAAGAGCCAAGAGCCAAGAGCCAACAGCCAACAAGCGAAACGCGAGCGGCGATTCCAAATTGGATTTGAACACTTCAGCTCAGTCGCGTCTACACCTTCTCTCGAGTGCAACGCGCGCTTCGCAAAGAGTTCATTTTTAATAAGCTCCATTTGTAGTATCTTGACCCGCGACATGTTCAGGCCCGGCCCACTGCACAGATAGACAATGAAATGGTTTAAACGAGTGCGCAAAAAGTCAAAGTAACTCTGCAAAATCACAAAATCACTTGCAAGAGCAGCGGCAAGCAATTCGCGTATTTCGTTGAGCATTTCGGTGCAACGCATCGCGAGATCGATTCGAATTTAGTTTAGTTTACATTAGTTTATTTTTACAACTCGAGAACCTCAAGAGACGGGCACAGGCAGACAGACGAGATGCCCTTTCGACGCAGCAAGCTCAATCATCGCCATCGCGATGGCCATGTCCTTGTCTGGGATCAGAATAATTTGCACGACAGACCAAAGGGTAAGCATCAAGGTGAAAGTGCTATGTGAGCGAATTTCGGAAACCAGCAGAAGAAAATACTTTCTCCACTTAGTCTTAGAAAAAAAGGGGAGAGACACATATACAGTAATCTAAATGTTATTGAAACTGCAGTTAGATCAAACATTAATGCAATACTCAATAAAGCATAGAACAAATATTTAAAAATATAATATAATAATTTGCTTGTTGTTTGTCTAAAATCTATATTGTAAATATCTTTAAAGCAAGCAAATCATAAAACGAATGAGTTCATTTTCATATAAATATAATTTTGAAATATTAATAAAAAAATAAATAAATAAATAAGTAAAATTGCAGAAATATTTGTTTAACAAATCTAAAAATGCTTATTAATTGAAAGCTTATATAACACTTATAGAAAAAAATTTATTTTTTTAAATTTGAAATCATGCAAACAGTTTTTGGGTTATATAAGGTTTAAAGTAATCACAAATTTTAATAAAAAATAAGAATTAAAAAAAAAATGTTATATGAAAGTCTAGTTGTTAAAAATGTGGTAAGCCTATCGGTCATTAAAGGGTATGCAGATGTGATTTACATGCTCTCCCCTGCCCCTCTGCTGCTCTCTCTCTCTCTCAAACACTCACACTCACGATCCGCACACGCTGCGTATGCGTTATATTTATAGCTAAAAGCTTATTCATTTCGCCCATTTTAGAGAGAATATAGGCAAATAGTCGAGGCAGGCACGAGTGGCTGGCTGCCCTGTGCTGACGCGCGACGTACACGTGCTGCATATGCCGCACTGATTGTGCAACATGTGTGAGAGAGAGGGGTAATCTAAGACAGAGAGAGAGTGAGAGAGGGGGGACTGTAGGTATTTTGACAAATCGCGCGATTTAACGCTGCGTGCGCACAAATAAAAACGCGAACGAATACAATTATTTTCGCTGTAGACTTTGCTTTCTGATTTTCGATTCAGCAATTGTTCAGTCCGGATTTTCCACAATGCTCTATGTCATATTTAGTGGAAAATTGTTGTTGTGTGGAAAATAAGCGCAAAACAGAACAATTCCAAGCCTAAGCAATAAAATTGCCGGTCTGTTGAGCTAGCTGGCAAAACGAAATGGCTGAGAGTTCAAATTCCATTTGCCAAGTTGAGCATTAACAAAATACAGTTGTGCCTTCCAAACTCAGCTTGAACTCTATAACAAGCAATCGCCAACGATTTCAAGTGCCAAGCCAGCAAATTGAGCATCACGTGTTGCCCGTGCTCGTGCGCGGCGACAATCGTTCCTCTTGTCGCATGACACTGCAAATATACGATCAGTATTATGTACATATATGTCATATAAACAACAATCAAGAAAAGAACAACAATAATAATTATAAATCACTCCGGGATTGGTCTAGAAATAGCTCGCAGCAGCGTCTCGAATTTCGCAAGCTTTTTATTATAGCTGGAAACGTGAGGTAACTAAAAACGAGTCTGGAGAGAGAGAGAAAAAAAAAAAAAAAAAAAACAATGAGAATACGGTCCAGCAGTCTGTGATACATATGATTGGCATTGAGTCATGTAGATACTATGTACAATCTTATCTGATCTGGATGCTACTTATCTTATTATTATCTCATAGCTGCAGCCCCGTTTTGTAACAGTTTATACCCAGTGAAAACTTTGGCTGTAGGGCTTAATAGATTACAATGTCTTTCTGACAATACTCGAAGCAGACAACTCACCGGTTTGTCATGATGATGAAGCCAAAAAATGAGAATCCAATACATTAATTTCATATATTTTGCATGCCAGTGTACAGGTCATCTTTTGGTCGATCATTCTTTATTCTCACTCTTTTCTATGAATCTCAGAATTAAGTGTTTGTTTTTATTTAGTATCTTTGCTCATTTCCGCTCCGAGCTCGTTAAGATCTGTGCACAAACAAGTGCCGACAGAATTTGCGAATTAATTGGCCGTAATTAAATGTTGATTCGCCTACTCTCTAAGGAATTACTATATGTTCGCTCTCTTATTTGTTTGTGTTCGCAGGCTGGGCAACCACCCGCTACTTTGTCACATTCATGCTCTTCCTGGGCATGGCCAATGCGTACGTGATGCGCACCAATATGTCCGTGGCCATTGTGGCGATGGTGAACCATACGGCCATTCAGAAGGGCGAGGAGATCCTCGACGATGAGTGCGGCGATCGGGAACTGGAAGTCGTAAGTTGATCGATTATTGATCGATAACAAGTGTCTTACTCTCTCTTTCTCTTTCTCTCTCTATCTCTTTCTCTCTCTCAGGACAATGGCGAAGATGGCGAGTTCGCTTGGAGTTCCAGTTTGCAGGGCTATATACTGTCCTCCTTCTTCTACGGCTATGTGATCACGCAGATTCCTTTCGGCATATTGGCCAAGAAATACGGTGCTCTGCGGTTCCTCGGCTGGGGCATGCTCATAAACTCCGTGTTCGCCTTCCTGGTGCCTGTGGCGGCTCGCGAAGGCGGAGTCTACGGCCTCTGCGCTGTCCGCTTCATCCAGGGCCTGGGCGAGGGTCCCATTGTGCCCTGCACGCACGCTCTCCTGGCCAAGTGGATACCACCCAATGAACGCTCCCGCATGGGCGCTGCGGTCTACGCGGGTGCTCAGTTTGGTACGATTATCTCGATGCCACTGTCTGGCCTGCTGGCTGAGTACGGCTTCTCCGGTGGCTGGCCCTCGATCTTCTATGTGTTTGGCGTGGTGGGAACAGTGTGGTCCATTGCCTTCCTCATTTTCGTCTTTGAGGATCCCTCAGCACATCCTCGCATCGACGAGCGTGAGAAGCGCTACATCAACGACTCCCTCTGGGGCACAGATGTGGTCAAGGTACGCGAACACTCCATCCAGAGAAGCCATTCAGGTAGCTAATAGGTTCTTTTTCTTGCAGAGCCCGCCCATCCCGTTCAAGGCCATCATGAAGTCGCTGCCCTTCTACGCGATTCTGTTCGCTCACATGGGTCACAACTATGGCTATGAGACCCTGATGACGGAACTGCCCACCTACATGAAGCAGGTGCTACGCTTCTCCCTGAAGTCCAACGGCTTGCTCAGCTCCCTGCCCTACCTGGCCATGTGGCTGTTCTCCATGTTCATTTCGGTGATTGCGGATTGGCTGATCAGCTCGAACCGCTTCTCGCTGACGGCCACCAGGAAGATCATCAACAGCATTGGCCAGTATGGACCCGGCCTGGCTCTGATTGCCGCCTCGTACACGGGCTGCGATCGCGCCTTGACTCTGGCCATACTCACGATTGGCGTTGGCCTCAATGGCGGCATCTACTCGGGCTTCAAGATCAACCACTTGGACCTGACGCCGCGCTTCGCGGGCTTCCTCATGGCCATCACGAACTGCTTGGCCAATCTGGCGGGTCTGCTGGCGCCAATTGCTGCGGGCAATCTGATCAACGATAAGGTGAGTCGATCAGACATTTCGCTCCGAGATCTCCAATAACTCTCTCAACATCATTTGCTTTACGCAGCCCACGATGGGACAGTGGCAGATTGTCTTCTTCATCGCCGCGTTCGTGTACATCATTTGCGGCACCTTCTACAACATCTTCGGCTCCGGCGAGCGCCAGTTCTGGGACAATCCCGACAACGATGAGCAGAAGCCGAGCCTGGAGAGCAACAGCGGCACGAACCATGAGACACCAATCGGAAGGCTGAGCAATGGCAATTCAGCGCCGCTGGCCATCACTGCCAGCGAGTCTAGGCAGTAATTACCATTACACTGTACTACACTACACTACACTACACTATACAGAAGATAGTTTAAGTTATTAATTTAGTTAGTTATACTCTAAGCGAAAAGTTGTTGTTACCGCATTAGCATTGCCCGAAGCCTTAGAGTTCAAGCAACAGCATTGAGAAAGACAATAATCGTCAGTGGCCCACAAAATTTCAATACAAGTTTGATTTGATCTGAGCACAAAACAATCCAAGTCACATTAATTTTGTAAACATAGTCGAACTATACTTGGCCGTGCCGCGCCATGCGTGCCGTGCCGTGCCTTATACGGGTATTCAATCGTCTACCATTTCAAATGCGTAGTTTTTTCATTGTGATAGCAAAGAGTTAAGTTTTTCTTTTTGTATAGAGTCAATTCAATTGAAGTGAGTTAAGTAAACAAATATTGTTAAACCATGAATGAAATACTAAATACTTTTCTATATACATATGTATAAAGTATAAAACATAAAATATAATATATGATATGAATAAATATATCAATGTGTGTATGCAAACGATTCAACGTACAACAAAAAAAGACACTAAAAGTTTGCAAATAAAATTCGAAATTGCTAAAAACCAACTTAAAACTGTCGAAGGGATTCTTGGGTATATTTATATGCTGGTAATTTATCTGTTCTTATCAGAGTAATTATGAATGAATTCGATAATGTAAGTTTTACGAAAATCAGAGAAGAATATACAAACGATGGAGGAGATAATTTAAGAAAAGAAAATACTGGAAAGTTTTCAGGTACATCCAAAATAGGTTCTTCGAACCTCAAAGGTTCTTAAAAGGAAAGAAGACAACAGAATGAAAATAGTTAAAGCAAAAAAAAAAAAAAAAAGTAAGAAAGCTCTAGTCGAGACTGCTCGACTACGAGATCCCCTGAACCCTTGGAGTGCTAGCTATTTCAATAATTTTTCGCGTCTTTCAGCTTACACAAGAAACACACACACATACACAAACACATACACACACAAGCACCCACGCATAAACACGCATGGGCTGCAGTGTGCGCTTACTATGAGAACTTAATTGTTTAATAACTTTTTTTGTGGACGTACGATCTTCATGAAACTTTCAGATTNTCCAGTAAGACGAAGATCTCCCTTGTCAGTGCCCAAATTTTAAGTTATTCTCAATTTCAAAACAGTTCTAATTTCTAATAAATAAAATAAAATAATTTAGTATAATTGTATAGTCTAGTATAATAGCTCTTCAGCAAAGATACCCATCGAGTATCTATATCGGTCACATTGCCAGCTAAGAATCTTCACCTACCCCAGTGTCACGCCCTACACTAATTCGATATTAATAAACAGTTGCTTCCATGTCAAATGGCTGCCACGCCCACTCGAACACTCGAACAGCATATAAAAAGGGAACAAGAGGCATGTCTCAAATCAGTATTCGAGGCACAGCCCTCGTCCAGGCAGCAATGGGYCACGAGGAGGARCTCAGTYCGGACCAAATCGATCCAAAGATTTCCGCTTTGCATGGCGCTCTGAGGCGCACCTGGTGCGATTTCTGCGCGACGAGCAGCATACATGGCCTGAAGTACACACGCGACAAGGACACAAATCGCGTGGTGCACTTCGTGTGGATTCTCATCTCGATTGTGATGTTCCTCTGCGCCATTGTCATGACGCTGACCTTCTATGCGGACTACCGCAGCAGTCCGACGCGCATGAATGTGGAGAGTGATCACACGCCCGTCAGCCGGCTCTACTTTCCGCCAATAACCATCTGTCCCGAGGTGTTGTTCAACATGGACAAGTCCAAGGCCTACATCGACTCACTGTGGGTGAAACAATCTCTCTCTTTCTAGCGCCCTCTTTCTAGCGCCCTCTTTCTAGCTCCCTCTGTCTATCTAATTTAGGAAACTGCCGCAGAATGTTCAGACATCGGACGTATTGCAGACCTTGCACATCTTTAGCGGCTTCATGCTGGACGACGAGCGCTTCTCCTCGGCAGAGGTTGAGCTAATGGAGTCCGTGCTGCAGATCAATAATTTGACCCTGATTCAGTTTGTGGACCAGTTGCGCTGGGATTGCCATGAGATTTTGCATCGTTGTCGCTATCATGGAGACATTATGAACTGCACGCGCTTGTTCCAGCTGTCGAAGACGTTCTTCGGACACTGCTGCTCCTTCAATCTGCGCCAGGACGGGTGGGTCAACAATATGAGTCCTTATAAATAGAGCTCTATTCTATCTGATATTCAGGCTGAATTTCACTGCTCAGGCTGCTGCTGGAGGTCTGGACAATGGGCTCTCTTTAATCCTCCGCTACAAGGATGAGAACTATGATGCCCTAAAATCCTATTCGCATGGTTTCAAGCTGCTCATCCAGGAGACGGACGCCTTTCCCAGCGCTCATGCCGACTGCAAGTTTCTGGGGCTCAACACCGAATCATTTGCCACGCTGCGCGTCGTGGAGACCTTCTGCTCAGATGCCGTCAAGGCGCTGCCCATCGCACAGAGAAATTGCATCTTCAGGCATGAGTTTCAGCTGCGCTACTTCTCGAACTACGTCTATCCCAACTGTGAGCTCAACTGCCGAGCCAACAACATGGACAAGCTCTGCGGCTGTCATACTTACTTCTTTGAGTTCAACCGCACCAAGGAGCGGGTATGCACGTTCCGTGATATACCCTGTCTGGTTGATAATTTTCGTAAGTATTTAAATGTATTAAATTAAATTAATTAATTATAGTATTTTATATCTCCCTAAAGCCGAAATCATAACGCGCAGAAAGAAAACGCAGTGTCCTTGCCCTTTGACCTGTGAACACTTTGACTACGATGTGCAGATCTCGAACTTTGAGCTCAAGTTCGATATGCCAGTTGTGGATCCTTTCTAGTTGGTGTTTATTCCTTTTTCTGCATGATGCTATACTCACTACATACTTCTCATTATAGCAAAGGAATCGAGCATAATGATGCCATTGTTCATATTTTTCTCAACTCCCAAGTCTATAGACGAGTGCGTGTAGATCTGCTCTCAAATATGGTCACCCTAGTCTGTGAGTTGATCGACCGATAATAATGAGCTGTGTAAATTCTCATTTGTTTTCGGTTGCAGCTAATCTGGGCAGCGCATTCAGCTTGTTTGTGGGCATGAGCATGTTGTCTTTGGTGGAGATCATATACTACTTCACAGTTATACTGCGCAAGAATTACATTCAGGAATGCCGCGCACGTCAGAAGTTACAGAGTTGGCACAAACGACCAAACTTTGCCTGGCCCCCTCACAAAAATAGCACTCGGCAGAAATCTGTTTTCTATATCTCAGGTCGTAACTAATCAGCGTGCGATTGATAAGCACTTCGGACATCAGCCATATATTAAAGAACTTGAATAAATGTACGGCAACG